AATCTCTGCGATAGTGAATCGTCACATTTTATATTGTGATTCCTCCCATTCTCTGGCGACCCCTTTCCCCTGTGCTCTGTTGACCCCATGCCATGTGCCACGTCTGTAGAGCAACACTGCGCACGGCTGCTGAAGCTGGCGCGCCTAGCGGAAGAGCTGGAGGCAGATGAGTGGCGCTTCCGGCCAGTGGAGAAGCTGCTGGGATTTTCCAACCAATCCTGACTGTGCATGTGAACACTTGCTGAACACTTGTGCCCCCCCTGTGTGTGCGTGCACACTTACACGCAATTGTGCACAAAACACTGCTGTGTACTTGTGAACACACACACACAGAGCCATCCACATCTAACATTGCACACAGACAAAAACAATCAGATACACCCCTTAAAGCCTTAACAGGCTTTTGGGGCAAGCGTTGTTCACGAGCACCAATGAGGGCCGGCACGGCACAAGGGAATGTGAGTGGCCATTGCCACGTGACCTGGTTCAGGGGTTCCACTGGGGTTCTGAGCAGTGGGGGGCAGGGGTCACAGGGTTCATAGTGCAGTGCATGAATCACTACTCTGCCAAGAATACTCATTTTTAGAAACAGCCGTTTAGTAGTTGGTGGTGCTGATTAGTTCTGGTTCCTGCCACCGCACTAATGACGGAGTGAGAATTGAGGTCACGAACACCATCAGCCATGGTCAATCCACTGCTGGATGAAGGTCTCCCCTCAGTCGCTGCCACCTCTCCTGTGGTGGGTAGCGGTTTATTTTAACCCGCGCTTGGTCGTCGCTACTCGAGATGGCCTCGGTGTTAAACGCGCGCACTCAAACCTTAACGTCCACTCGTACACCATGTATATACGTTGTGTATATTTTAATAAAATTGCATACAATTGCATTTCTGTAAGGGAAAGCCATTGCGTTCTTTTTTTGTGGACATGGTCAGGAAGGATATATGGATGGAGTAACGAGGCAATTTGTAACGCGCACGCCATATTACACGAGACTTAAATGACCCCGTGATTCATAGCGAGAAGCCAGGCTCTTGGTCGCTGAAAAGCCAAGCGAAAGGTGGAGCCTTTAAGAAAGAGATGGGGTCTTTAAGAACCCAGTGAGCTTTTAAAATGTGTTTTGTAGTCTGTAGAAACTGAACGCTGCTTCTGTGAATGTGCAGTAACAGCGGGATGATGACGATGATGGGAGTGTTCTAGACGGCGGAGGTTGGCCACGGAGAAAAACGATGCCTGGCAGTGAGGGTCTCCAGTCCCTTGGTGTTGGATAGGGTTGTGAGTCGTGCTGATTGGAGTGCTTGGTGATGTATGGGAGGATAAGCTAATGGAAACCCACCCACTGGTGTTAACAATGTAACTGGTGTTGGCCAAATATATCCAAGTGTAAAAAATAATCAGATTACACAATTGGGATTACACATGGCAACATCGTGCTCTACTGCAAATTGTCCTGGAGGAATTAAATGAGCTGTAAAGTTCTTTATCGTTGATGTCCAGCAGGGGTGGGGCAGGACCCTCTTGAAAAAGAGTTGAGACTTTGTGAGGCTATACAGGGTAAATAAAGTATAAACATCCTACCAACATTTTGACCACAAACAATGTATGGGTGGCGGTGGTGGAGGGAGTGCAGAGCTGAACCTTCAGGGACTTGGCACGGCAGGTGACGAGGGAGGAGGGGATAAGTGATGGGGCAGTTTTCCCTGGGAATGAGATCCGTGGGCAGTCGCGTTGTTCGCCCATTGGGGACACCTCGGTGGAATTGGCTATTTGTGGGGCCACCCTTTCAACTGTTACACACCTATTGGTGTGATAGCAGAAGAGATGCAGACAAGGGATGTAGTGAAATGAGCGAAGTGTCCACAACAAATATAGATGAGAGACGCAGCCTAGAGGTGGGAGAATCGTTGGCTTATGACAATTATCCGGTGTATTCGGGTTGGATTTCTAAGCGGATATTTGAAGCATCTGCGATTGTTTCCATGGATCGGGAGTCCTCTGAGCCACTTGGAGCACTAATAATAACAATTAACATTTGTAAAGTCACGAATTTCATACGTAAATCCAAATGCGCCCCGTGCATTGAAAGCAGGAAATGAACAAGCTGCTGGGTAAACAGCCACAACTCGCGGGGGACAAAGGGCAGTTTGCTGCACCGGCAAAAAACCCGAGCAGCCCTCCATGGACAGAGCCTTGACCTCGCAGTACATAAAAGAAGTACCATCCGAAGAGCTCATGGACAGCTGTCAGTGTACAATGACGGATCAGTTCCTGTCAATATTGCGGGGCTAACCCATTGCGTTGTCAGTGAGCTTCTGCTCAACGGCGCCACTCTCTTTGCATCCGAAGTTCGGAGATGGTGGGAAGCCGGGGTTGTGGTGGGCGGGGGGGGATCATGGTGGGGGGTAGTGGTGGGGGGTAGTGGTGGGGGGTAGTGGTGGGGGGTAGTGGCGGGTAGAAGGGTGGGGGAATCACAAGAGATGGGCTCAGCAGCGACGCAGCCCGGCTGCACGTGGCGTTACACGGCGCCGGGTGGAAATCGAGTTGGGGTTGGGCTATTGAAATAAAACTTTAACTTTATTTTAACCAGGTAAGGCCCACTGAGCTATATAGGTATTTTTTTTTAGAAGCGACCTCACCACAAATTATAGCTCAACGAAGTGGCTTATCAACGTGTGGACATTTATATCAGTCAAATACTCTAAACGCGTGATGTTGATACTAAATGTGGAGGGAAAAACCGGACAAATACACAGCAGGCGTGACGGTCCGGGCCGAACCCACGACCTCCTGCATACCTGGCGAGGTGGTTAACATCTCGCCACCGTGGCGCCATAAGTTGTGTTATGATTGTGTTGGTTACAGTACTGTACGCTGGTTTAGCCTGGAAAACCCCGCCGAGTCAAATTTTCGCAGCGGGGGGCGATGTTGCGGCTGTGGGGGTGTGAGGTCCCAATTGAGTCGTTTGCAATGTAAAACGTGTTTTCAGCATTGAGATGTTTTGGCAAATACCTGTTACATCGTCATTTTTTTTATATACGGGGGATGAAACCGCATGCAGAACAAGGTGAGAACGTACAAACTCCCTGCTGAAAGCCACCCCAGTCGAGAATCTAACCGAGGCCCTTATTGCTGTGAGTGTGAACACTCGTGTCACCCTGCCACCGACCGGCACGGTCTGCACGATGCGATTTGGTCCACTGGATTGCTGGGTGAAGTGGAACGTGGACATCCTGTGTAGGCTGAACAAGTGGCCGTCATCGGCAGAATTAACAGAGGGTATTGAAACCTGCACATGCACGTGGGCAGGGAGCTGGGGTAGGAAAGTCACTTCCAGACGAAACAAATACAACTCCATATGCGTATCTCCACGTACACAAAGCGGCACAACTGTTTCTTACTCATCCCGTCAGCCGCGCGGCATTCTGGGAATGCACAAAATATCAGCAGAATTGCTTCAAGCCAAGCAAGTCTGTGGAGCGGTATCGACACGCAGAGTCTCATCAGTAGAGCGAGGCCTGTTGCCCTCCGCCTTACAGGAGGAAAGGGCCCTCGCTTGCTGTACGCTACGGCGTTCCGAGTTCGACTCAATGTATAAAGTAACAACTCAACTCAACATACTCATCGTTGGTGTCGTTGTGGAGAATACAAGTAACAACATTAACGAGTTATTTGTCTGTTCATGCGGAACAGGCGCACGTGAGAAGCAGACATCTGCTCATAGGTTATTTCTATTCTCCACGAAAACGCTTGTGATTATTTTGAGTTATGTACAATATAATTTCGATAGAAAGGCTTACATCATGTCGGAATCCGACTGCATCTTAAGACGGCATCAACTATTGTGTGCATTGTGTGTGAGCCACCAGGCGTGTGAAAGAGGAAGATCTAACGTTTGGACTGCAGGGCAATATCTCGGACGTGGCGCGGAAACATCGGGACGTGGGTTTCCTGTGCAAGTGAGCGAAGGGTATTCGGAGAAATGGTCACGGGCACATTAACAAGAGAATGAAAAACACATTGGGCCTGATTGCTGAGCAGGTTGACCTGGGAGATTCCACAGAAAGCCACCGTTGATAGAACGGAGAGCGGCGTGGAGGGGAGTGGAGTGAGACGAGAGGGGAGAGGTGGGAGAGTGCGTGGAGGGGAGTAGAGTGAGATGAGAGGGGAAAGATAGGAGAGTGCGTGGAGGGGAGTGGAGTGAGATGAGAGGGGAGAGGTAGGAGAGTGCGTGGAGGGGAGTAGAGTGAGATGAGAGGGGAGAGGCAGGAGAGTGCGTGGAGGGGAGTAGAGTGAGATGAGAGGGGAGCTAGAGGAAGGGGTTGAGTACATGGAGGATGTTGAAGTTGCTGAATGCGATCTTGAAGTTAACCCAGAATTGAATGTTCAAGCCGGTGGATGGATTGGGAGGATTCGGGGTGTGGGTGAGAAGTCTGACGGTGACGTTGGATCCTCGAGTGGATTGGCCAGAGAGGAGAGTCGCTGTAGTCGATTCTGGATGTGATGCAAGTGTGGAGGAAGGTTTCAGCAGCAGCTGCGGTAAATAGATGTTTTACAGGTGGAGTTATGATGTCACAACCATCATCATCATCATCACCACCACCAACCACCACCATCGTTACCGCCACAACCACCACCAACATTGCCTCCTCCACCACCGCCACCATCATCATTGCCATCATCATCACCACGGCGAGCATCATCATTATTATCCTTATCATTATCATCACCACCACCACAGTTATCATCACTATCATACCACGACCACCATCGCTACCACCACCATCACCACCACCACCATCACCACTATGATAACCACTATTGGCTGAATCTCAGCCGCATCAGCAGAATGAGATGGATTCTTTAAAATCCTCGTAACCATCACCATGACCATGATCACCGTCACCACAATCAGCTGACCGCACAAGTTGCAGAGGGGAGGGGTTGAGTGGGGGGTGGGGGGGCATCCACCGGGGACCAATCGCCTCGGCCGTGCACACGCCCAGTCTGAAGTCCGCGTGGACCCGCAGAGCGAGCGAGCGAGCGAGAGAGACCTTAACCACAGCCACCTCCAGCACTGCCCGCCGCTGCTGCTGCTGCTGCTGCTTCTGGAGCTGTGGTGCAGTCGTGAGTCGCGCCGTGTCCGTCTGGACGCGACCCCGAGCGAGCCGCCACTCGTCACGCGCCCCGGCGCCATGGGGAGGAGACGCGCGGTGTAACGCCGAGGCGAGTAGGAGGAGGAGGAGTAGGAGGGGACGATGGGGACCAGTGTGGAGAAGGAGCTGTCCACCTTGCAGTGAGTCCTGGACATCTCTCCCTGCCTCCACACGTGGATTCCCTCCACCCCACCCTCCCGTCTCGCCCCCCCCCCTCCTCCTGTGTCTGCGATCTCGTGTTTGCCCTGCGCGCCATGCGCTGTCCGGATCTGGCCTCTGACTCCTTCGCGGATCGGAGCTCGCGGGCGACCTTTGGTCGCTGGGCGCGCATGAAACACAACGCGCGGTCGAAAACCGCCATCATCATCATCACCCATCACTAGCACGGTTGGCTACGTACGGTGCGATAGAAGTTCAACATACTTAATCCATCATTTATCGCCGGCCCCGATCTGCCCACTGGCGGACGAAGGGGACACCCCCTAAGACGTCGCCTGGCCACGTCGCGCGGCCTCGCGATGTCACGAGCCACTCGGCCTCTCCACACGGGCCGCGTTCACGCCTCCCGTCTCGGGCGATGGGCAGGCGGGCGTCGGGACGTTGTCTCATACGTCAGTTAGTCAGTTAGTCAGTCAGTCAATGAGTTAGGCAGTCAGTTAGTCAGTTAGTTTGTCAGTTAGTTAGTTAGTTAGTCAGTCAGTCAGTTAGTTAGTTAGTCAGTCAGTTAGTTAGTCAGTTAGTCAGATAGTCAGTTAGTCAGTTAGTCTGTCAGTTAGTCTGTCAGTTAGTCAGTCAGTTAGTTAGTTATTCAGTCAGTCAGTCATTCAGTCAGTTAGGCAGTCAGTTAGTCAGTCAGTTAGTTAGTTAGTCAGTTAGTTAGTCAGTCAGCCAGTCAGTTAGTCAGCTAGTCAATCAGTTAGTCAGTCAGTTAGTCAGTCAGTCAGTTAGTTATTCAGTCAGTTAGTCTGTCAGTTAGTCAGTTAGTTAGTTAGTCAGTTAGTCAGTTAGTTAGTCAGTTAGTTAGTCAGTCAGTCAGTCAGTCAGTTAGTCAGTCAGTCAGTTAGTCAGTCAGTTAGTCAGTCAGTTAGTCAGTTAGTCAGTCAGTCAGTTAGTTAGTTAGTCAGTCAGTTAGTCAGTCAGTTTGTCAGTTATTCAGGTAGTTAGTCAGTCAGACAGTCAGTCAGACAGTTAGTCAGTCAGTTAGTCAGTTAGTAAGTCAGTTAGTTAGTCAGTCAGTTAGTCAGTCAGTAATCAGTTAGTCGGTTAGTTAGTCCGTTAGTCAGTTAGTCAATCAATTAGTCAGTCAGTTAGTCAGTCAGTTAGTCAGTCAGTCAGTTAGTTAGTCAGTCAGTTAGTCAGTCAGTTAGTCAGTTAGTTAGTTAGTCAGTTAGTCAGTTAGTTAGTCAGTTAGTTAGTCAGTCAGTCAGTCAGTCAGTTAGTCAGTCAGTCAGTTAGTCAGTCAGTTAGTCAGTCAGTTAGTCAGTTAGTCAGTCAGTCAGTTAGTTAGTTAGTCAGTCAGTTAGTCAGTCAGTTTGTCAGTTATTCAGGTAGTTAGTCAGTCAGACAGTCAGTCAGACAGTTAGTCAGTCAGTTAGTCAGTTAGTAAGTCAGTTAGTTAGTCAGTCAGTTAGTCAGTCAGTAATCAGTTAGTCGGTTAGTTAGTCCGTTAGTCAGTTAGTCAATCAATTAGTCAGTCAGTTAGTCTGTTAGTCAGTCAGTTAATCAGTTAGTCAGTCAGTTAGTCAGTTAGTCAGTTAGTTAGTCAGTTAGTCAGTTAGTTAGTCAGTTAGTCAGTTAGTTAGTCAGTTAGTCAGTTAGTCAGTTAGTCAGTCAGTTAGTCCGTTCCTTCCAGCGACCCGCGTGTCTTGCGTGCCCACACCATCTCACGTTTTGCAGAGTTATGCACTTGCGTCGTCCAACGTAATCTCGCTCGTCCTGTTTAATTCGCGCAATGCTAAGAATGCAGCTCTCCGTCATTGTTGGTGCGCTTGCGTTTGTTTTCATGCTGTTTGCGTGGGTAAATGTCAATGTTTCAAACCCTCATGTCAAGCCGAGCAGGTGATGTACGCGGATTTAAAGTATGCGTTTACAGGCAATTGAAAGGACGCGCGGTACAAGTCATTGTAGTTTAGAGCGTTTTAATAATCATATCAACAACAACAAGTCTTGAGCCTCTCCATTTGTTTTCAGGAGGATCCTGCGAATGAATGAGTGTTGGGTTGGCCTCGTGTGTGTGTGCCAGGTGGTGTGTGTGTGTGCCAGGTGGTGTGTGTGTGTGCCAGGTGTGTTGTGTGTGTGAGTGCTTGTCACGTGCAGTGGGGAGCGGTGGTGCAGGGGTTAGCGCTACGCTGCGCCACGAACCCAGCGACCCTGGTTCGATTCCCGCTCACGGCCAACACCAGTGACGCTTGTCTGAGCCGGCCCCTGGGCCTCTCCTAGGTCGACTCAGCCTTAAATGAGATACAAAGGCGGCCGGGCGTGGTATTGGCCACCCACCCCGCTGTGTGCCGTCCCGGCCTTCACAGGTGCTCCTCGCTCACAGCACTTGCCCTACAGTCTGTTGAAGGCTATTTGGGGGATCTTTAAGTCACGTGTATGGGATTAATGAGAGCAGCTTGTGGGGTAGCCGATGGCCCCGTGTGGAGTAGCCAAGGGGGCCCACAGGAAGTCGCCCTCCCCAGTATCCCTCTCCACCAACTTCAACTCGGCCTGCACGTCACGTGTCTCTCGACTCCCAGAGGCCTCTTCCCCAGCGACCGACCTGGGGGGCACTACTGCCCCACAGACTCGTGCCCCCCCCCCCACCGCCCCTTCCCCCGTCACCCCACCCCTCACCCCCCTTCCCGCTGTGCCCGTATGCCGCAGGTGGTACCACGGCACCATGTCCCGCCACGTGGCCGAGGCGATGCTGATGCAGAACGGGCAGGACGGGAGCTACCTGTTCAGGCGGGGGCTGGACGGGCAGTTCGTGTTGGGGGCCAGGTGAGCGCAGAGCCCACCCACAGCACCCCCCACGGGGCATCATTCCCTGTACCCGACACCCTGTGTGGTGCCCCCCATAGAACACTGTCGCCTCGCCTCTCTGTAAACTTCACTCTGCATAGCAGCGACTGCACCACACCCATTGCACACAACACCCGACGTAACATTCAGCGCAGCACACCCCAAACAGCACGTCTGTGTAGCACTGCCGCATAGCACTGCCGCATAGCACACGCTGCATCGTACACCCACAGCAACCCAACATGTATAGCACACCAACGTAGTAACCCCATCATCAATCATCACCAAGCCACCCATCCCTTATCATCATCTTCAATAAATAATCATCCATCAATCCATCCATGACGACCATCATCACCGACAATAAACATCATTATGCGTTCACCATTTCAGTCGTAATCATTAATCCATCCACCACCACCACAATTATCCCCTATTCCATGCCCCACCGCCACCATCACCGCAGCCACGGCTCCCCGCCCCCCGCTCGCCAGGTCCAAGGACTCGGTGAGGAATTTCCAGGTGAGCTGGAGCGAGACTCGGGGCTTCTCCTTCGGCTTCACCATCTTCCCCACGGTCAAGGAGTTCGCCGATCACCTCGCCAACGAGCCCATCCTGGGGAGCGAGACTGGTCAGCGCACCACCACCCCACCAACCCCGCCCCCCACGGTGCCTGCGTTCTTCAGTAGCCAGCCGGGGGGCGGGGGGGCGGTGTAATGCCCCCCGGCCCCCATATGAATATCAGTATTATAATTAGTCGTGAGTGGGAATCGAACTCGGGTCATTTCTGGCTTTGTAGCGCTAAGCAGCGCCCTACTGCTCGCCGCTAAATGCATTTGTAACGCGTCAACAACAGGAACAAGACAGCGCTGATGAGCATCAATGTCGCAGCTCGTGGCTATCTAACCCAGCACTGATCAACGCACAAAATGTCGTGAAACTCCTTTTCCCGTGGGTCTCGAGGAGGTGCCAATCTCCTGGCTCGCCAGGAGAAGGCGGTACAGCACGCGGGCTAATCGCCATCTGTTTCCATCCGTACGGGGATAGAGGGTTGCCCCCTCTCGTGCATGCTTTTCTCCGGGTGCTCCGGTTCACTCCCACGCGAATAACAAACAACACAACTCATCGTAAATTCTCTGAAAACATCTTTAAATAAATTTGAAAAGAATGTAGCGCCAGCACCGTCCCGAAAAAGAGTCTTTTGACTCAGCGTGGCTCTCTCCCGGATAGAGAAGTAAAGTCCGTAATAAATAAATAAATAGATAAATCTTTTAGTGTTCTCTCACTGCAAGGATAAAGGTGCGGCGCTGCAATTGCCTGCTCACGCCACTGCTGGTGGAAAGGCCTTCACTAGAGACAACTATAAGAGCGGAATTTGGTCTACTCTTCCACACTGACCGGACGTGTTGGAAGAGGTGGACGTACCCACACTTTACCCCACGCGACCTGCCGATCCACTCCCTGTGCCGTACCCATTCACACTGTGGGGTGGGCCAGATCGTTGAGGTGTGGAGAGTGGGTGAGTGCGTGTGAGGCTGAATGGGTGAGTGTGCGCGAGTGAGTGGGTGAGTCTGTTGTTGTGACCTGCAGTGTGGTAAGTGAGCGAATGGGTGAGTGTGCACGAGTGAGTGGGTGAGTCGGTTGTTGTGACCTGCAGTGTGGTAAGTGAGCGAATGGGTGAGTGTGTGCGAGTGAGTGGGTGAGTCGGTTGTTGTGACCTGCAGTGTGGTGAGTGGGCGGGTTCGTGCGTGCATGGGTGGGTGACTGTGTGAGTGCGCGTGTGGGTGAATGTGTGAGTGCGTGCGTGCGTGGGCGAATGTGTGAGTGAGTGTGTGCGTGGGTGAATGTGTGAATGTGTGAGTGCGTGGGTGAATGTGTGAGTGTGTGAGTGCGTGGGTGAGTGAATGTGTGAGTGCGTGCGTGGGTGTGTGAATGTGTGAGTGCGTGCGTGGGTGAATGTGTGAGTGAGTGAGTGCGTGCGTGGGTGTGTCAGTCTCCGACCCGCAGTGCGGTGGCGCGATTGGCTGGCTGACACAAACCAGCCGATCCGCTTGAGACCGGCGCAAGTGCGCGGCACGCGTTCGTTCGCGCCGCACCGGGCGACGGCAACTCTCTCCGGGTCCGCGTGCTCTCGACGGCGCCCAGCCCACGTGCCCCTCTCCCCCCCTCCCTCCCCCCTCGTGGTGCAGGAGGCCTGATCAGCCTCCGGTTCCCGTTCCCGCGGGAGGTGGCGGAGCCCTCCTTCTACGACCCCATCATCGTGCACACGGCGATGCGCTCGGGGCGCACCATCGATGACGTCCCCACGTACGCCTCCTCCGTGCGTAACGCCACAGATACACATCGAGACTCATAGAGACTCATAGAGATACATAGAGATACATAGAGATACACAGATACCCATAGAGACACACATATACCCATAGAGATACATAGAGACTCGTAGAGATACAGAGACTCATAGAGACACACATATACCCATAGAGATACATATAGACTCATAGAGACACACAGATACACAGAGAGATACATAGATACCCATAGTAACCCATAGAGACACATAGAGACCCATAGCAACCCATAGAGACACATAGAGACCCATAGCAACCCATAGAGACACATAGAGACCCATAGCAACCCATAGAGATATATTAAAAGCAATCCACAACCCTGGGGCTGTGGCCATGTCAGCCGAGCTACGGACCGCAGAGTGAACCCGCCGTGATCTGCGCTCCTTCAACGGGGGGGGGGGGGGGGGGGGACGGACAGCGACACGAACTCTGTCTCTCTCTCTCTGCTGAAGCCCTCTCTCGCCGTGGCCAGCAGCAGCAGCAGCCCCCGACGTGGAATCGTGGAGCTCCTGAGCCGCATGGCGACTGCCATCGTGCACAAGGAGAGAATAGCAAGCACTCATCTCGCTAACAACAACGAATATCTTATTAATTCCCCGACAGTCTGTGTAAACTAAGCGATAGGTAACAACATTATTAAGCACACAAATCGTCGCATTATACTAAATCTAAAATATATTTATATTACACACTTGCATCACCCATCATTGCAGCAGCGATGTTTCAAGACATGCAAAACTCTGGCCCTGGGTCGACATCCTCTGATTCGTCTGCTGGGTTTATGATTGTGCTAAACAAACTCTGCTGGATTGCCAGCCGTTATTGGCGAGGGCGCGGCCATGTAATTAGAGCACACCCGTCCAACGCAAAAAAGCGATGCCGTACAGAATCTCATCATGCGTGGCCGTGGAGCTTCAGGGTCGAGCGCAGGGAGGGGTAAGGGGCCTGGAGGGGGTGGGGGGTGGGGCGGGGGGCGTGGTGGGGGCTTCCCCCTCCCCCTGTGAGAAACCTGTCATCCCCCACACACACACTCTGCTCTCGATCGATGCACGTTCACGGAGCACCCGTCTGCCGGGGCAGGATTAATTAAGGCTCTCCGCGCGCGCGCGTGCGCGCGCGCTCTCACTCACTCATTAACTCACGCACGCACTCACTCATTAACTCACTCATGCACGCAATCACGCAATCACTCGTGCACTCACTAAACTCGCGCGCACTCTCCCACCCACCCACTGCCTCACCTGCGCACTCATTAACCGACGCACTTAAGAGCTCACTCTCACACTAACTCATGCATCCACTCACTAGCTCACTCACACACTCGCCCACACACTCACTCACACACTCACCCACACACTCACCCACACACTCACCCACCCACACATTCACTCACACACTCACCCACACACTCACCCACACACTCACTCACACACTCACACACTCACTAATGAACTTACATGCATACGCACGAATGAAATCACACACGCGCCCGCACGCTCACTCACTCAACAACAATTCGCCACTAAGTGGCGGTGACGTCACCGCGGCGCTTGTGCCAGGCTAAGTGCACGTTGAGGCCACGTGAAGTGTTGACTGAGATGAGTGGCCGATGCATCACCTGTGCCCCCTACTGTGCCAACTTGATGTGCTTTAACCACCCGGCGCTCCGGTCGTTGTTGTGAGGATCGATTCTTACTCACACACACTCCCTAACACACCCACACACTCACTCACAAGCTAACTTACTCACACACTCACTCACACACTCACTCACACACACTCCCTAACACACCCACACACTCACTCACAAGCTAACTTACGAACACACTCACTCACACACTCACTCACTCACACTCCCTAACATACCCACACACTCACTCACAAGCTAACTTACTCACACACTCACTCACACACTCACTCACACACACTCCCTAACACACCCACACACTCACTCACAAGCTAACTTACGAACACACTCACTCACACACTCACTCACACACACTCCCTAACATACCCACACACTCACTCACAAGCTAACTTACTCACACACTCACTCACACACTCACTCACACACACTCCCTAACACACCCACACACTCACTCACAAGCTAACTTACGAACACACTCACTCACACACTCACTCACACACACTCCCTAACACACCCACACACTCACTCACAAGCTAACTTACTCACACACTCACTCACACACTCACTCACACACACTCCCTAACACACCCACACACTCACTCACAAGCTAACTTACGAACACACTCACTCACACACTCACTCACACACACTCCCTAACACACCCACACACTCACTCACAAGCTAACTTACGAACACACTCACTCACACACTCACTCACACACACTCCCTAACACACCCACACACTCACTCACAAGCTAACTTACTCACACACTCACTCACACACTCACTCACACACACTCCCTAACACACCCACACACTCACTCACAAGCTAACTTACGAACACACTCACTCACACACTCACTCACACACACTCCCTAACACACCCACACACTCACTCACAAGCTAACTTACGAACACACTCACTCACACACTCACTCACACACACTCCCTAACACACCCACACACTCACTCACAAGCTAACTTACGAACACACTCACTCACACACTCACTCACACACACTCCCTAACACACCCACACACTCACTCACAAGCTAACTTACGAACACACTCACTCACACACTCACTCACACACACTCCCTAACACACCCACACACTCACTCACAAGCTAACTTACGAACACACTCACTCACACACTCACTCACACACTCAATGACTCATTAACACATCACTCTCCACTCAACATTTTTACCGCTCACGAAACCATTCACTCACTCACAATCACTCACATTCTCACGGACTCACTAAATCACGCGCACACTCGCTCGCTAACTCACACACTCACGAATAAAAACAAATACCCCCCGTATAGCCTTAACATACTTTGGGAGCAAGTGCTGCTAGCGAGCACCTGTGAAGGCCGGAACGGGGCACGCTAACTCTCACTCACTCACTGACGCCAATTCGTTTTCTGCTCCACTTCCCGCAAACGCCGTAAACCCACAGCCCTCAGCGGGGGGGGGGGGGGGGGGGGTGAGGGCTTGGCGAGTGTTGGAGTGTGGGCGAGGGAGGTGAGGGTGAGGGAGGTGAGGGAGGTGAGGGTGAGGGGGGTCAGGGTGAGGGAGTGACCGGGTGAGGGAGGTGAGGGTGAGGGAGGTGAAGGTAAGGGACGTGTTGGTGATGGAGGTGAGGGTGAGGGAGGTGAGGGTGAGGGAGGTGAGGGCGAGGGAGGTGAGGGTGTTGGAGGTGAGGGCGAGGGAGGTGAGGGTGAGGGAGTTGAGGGTGAGGGAGGTGAGGGTGATTGAGGTGAGGGGAGGTGATGGTGAGGGAGGTGAGGGTGTTGGTGATGGAGGTGAGGGAGGTGAGGGTGAGGGAGGGGAGGGAGGTGTTGGTGATGGAGGTGAGGGTGAGGGAGGTGATGGTGAGGGAGGTGAGGGTGTTGGTGATGGAGGTGAGGGTGATGATGATGGAGGTGAGGGTGAAGGAGTGACCGGGTGAGGAGTTGCGAGCAGCCGAGTAGCGGTTCACGCGCTCCACTACGATCCCCCAAATATTTGAACCGGCCCTGTGCCTCCACTTGGTAGACTCGGCCTCAAATCAATACTGTATCTGGCGAGGTGTGTAAACATCGCCACTCGGGGAGCAAAGGAGGCCGGGTCTGGTTCTGGCCACCCACCCCCTCGTGTGCTGTGCTGACCTTTATAGGTGCTCACTATCAGCACTTGCCCCGACAGTCTGCTACAGGCTACACGGGGGATCTGTGTCTTTAACTCTTGTGGACGTGACGTGAGACGGGGTCTCTCTCCCGTTCGCCTTCTGCGAGTCTCAGCCCCCGTTTAATGGGAAACAAAGCTGCCAAGCCAGTCACGTGAGAGAGCCTCATTCATATATATGCACGTGCCTACACTGAAGCACGATATTCGCACATGTACGCAATTGTTTATAATACAATACACAATAATAATGAATGGTCAATGCAACAAATGAACTAAACTATATTTTGTTTGAACACGGAAGGCCCACTGAGCTATGTGGGTCTTTTTCAGAAGCCACCTGGCCACAAATGATAGTTCAACGAAGTGGCTTTTCGCGTGGAAACGTAAAGCAGCCAAATACTCCAGACGCATGATTCTAAATGTCGAGGGAGAAAGCGGACAACTCGGAGGAAGATCCATGCGACCCCGGGGAGAAAATGCAGCAGCAGGCATCAGAGTCACGATGGAACCTACGACCTTCTGTATACCAGGCGAGGGAGTTAACATCTCCTCAAAGAGAACACGATGAGTCTCATTTGCAAGAATGACCTGGAGTCAGAGTCGTCTGCCAGTAAAGGGGGGAGGGGGGAGGGGGGGTGGTGATGAATGTGGAATCCTCACGCCAGGGGAGGGGAGGGATCTTTAAATCCCACTGTGAGTGGACGGCGCGTCGTGGAGTTACGGCTATCGCACCCCCTGCACTATGACACCCTGCAATGTTAATCAGGGCGGCCACTGGGCTCGAACTGTGACCCTCTGCAACGAGTGGCAGGCTCTGGGCCGCCTCACTGTGGGTGGGGAAAGGGGATGGGGGTGTGGGGGGAGACTTGGGGGCGGGGGGGGGGTAGCAGAGAAGAATGACTCCTTTGTTTATGTCCATCCCTGCCTCGACCCTCAACCCAGGTGGGGACGAAGGAGGGATTCCTCACCAAACAGGGCAACCGCGTCAAGGTGAGCGATCACCATCCACCCGATGGGTTCAACCCCGCACCCAGGTCCGCCCGCCAGCGGAGGCCCTTTGCTGACGGACATCGCCGCTCTGTATAGTTTCATTCACGTGATATGCAGAAGGGTCGCTTTTTATATAAAAAAAAATCACTGTAAGGCCACACACAAGCGGTATTATCAACGAATGTATTTAGTTGTTTTATGTTAATTGTCCTCTGAAAAATAACTCCGCTCTTTTTGCTTTGAGGTTCCTTCATCCAGCAGTAGATTGCCAGCGGGATTTATACTTTTAATAATTAGTACAATATTAATACATCTACATTGTTATTATGAAGGTTATATTGCACAAAAGAAAACTCAACACGTTAGTCAATAACACTATGGCCTTACATAACAAAAACAATACAATCGGTGACGTTTCGGGCAATGGGCCTTTTTACAATACACACAGCAACACGATGTTATCGGTTGGCACTGACAGCCGAGATTCTCTGCTCCTGCGATATTCACGATTGCCTAACAGACCATTGTCAATCCCATTGTCAATCCCATTGTCAATCCCATAGTCAATCCTTTGTCAATCTTCGGTTGCATTTGTTTTCCCTACGCACTGTCCCATGTGGCACGGCTCTGAGTAGTGCCGAGGGCCTGGAGGGAGTGGATCAGGGCTGGAGGGGGGCAGGGAGAGAGGGAATGGTGGGGGGGGGGGGGGTAGTGGGGGGAGGGGGGTAGTGGAAGGAGGGGGGCAGGTGAAGGTGATGGGTGCTCTGCTTTGCACGACCCGAGTTCCATTCTCGCCCACGACCAATGACCCGCGACATCATGTGAACTTGGTGCGTTGTGTCAACATCAGCGCTGCGGTCACCTACCACTTGGTGCGCCGTGCCTCCCTTCATAAGGGAACACGTCCCAAGGGTCTGTTGGAGGCTACACGGGGGACCTTTGCCTTTGCTCTCCCCGTGGTTTGTGTCACAGACATGGAAGCGCCGCTGGTTCACGCTGCAGAGGAACGAGCTCAAGTACTTCAAGGACAGGAAGGTAACTCGCGAGCCTGAGGCCAGACTCCAGCAGAACCCCCTCCATACGCCGAGATGCAGACTGGCGGGGTAGATGCTGCTGTGTACACGTGTGTACACATGTTACACACGTGTATACAAACACACAAAGATCTCCCGTATAGCTTTAACAGACTGTTGGGGCAAGTGCTGTTAGCAAGCAACATATGAAGGCCGGTACTGTACACGAGGGGGTGGGTGGCCAGCACCACGTCCGGGCCACTTTTGTCTCCCCGGTGGCGATGTTTACACACCGCACCAGGTACTCATTTAAGGTTGAGTGGACCTAGGGGAGGTCCAGGACCGGTTCAGATAATCGTCACTGGTGTTGGCAGCGAGCGGGAATCGAACCCGTGTCGCCGGGTTCATAGCGCAGCGCGCTAACCGCTACATTACAACTCCCCACACGCGCACACAGGCACACACGCACGCACACACACAGACACACACACACATAGACACACACACAGACACACACACACGCAGACACATAGACACACACAGACACACACACAGACACACACACAGACACACACACACATAGACACACACAGACACACACACGCAGACACATAGACACACACACACACATAAACACACACACAGACACACACACACACAGACACAGACACACAAACACAGACACACACACATAGGCACACACGCACACACAGACACACACAGACACACACATGAGTCACCGTATTCGCCGAACCTTACGACACGCGCGCGCGTGTCTCCCACACCTGGGTAGGGGCTAAGAGAGGAGAGGGGGTGGTGATGGTTTATGGATGAGGGTGGTTGCGGGTTCAAGGTTGAAAGGGGATGGGGAAGTCGGGTGGGGGTTGAAGACGTTCAAGGTTGAAGGGCTGGGGGGGGGGGGGCTTGATGGGGGGCGGGGGGCATTAGATTGGCGCGCGTGAAGAGACGCGTGTCGCGGCTCTGGGGGGGGGGGGGGGGTGCGAGATGGGTTGGAGGGGGGAGTCACATTTGACTTGGACGCCTGTGAACCGAGTGGACATCTGTGTAAAAGCCTCGTAGCTCGTCGGAGTCCTCCTCCAGTATAAACACAGACTCTGGGATGAGGAGGTGTGCGGGAATCATTCTCCTTGCCCGACCAACCCCCCCCCCCCCCACTATTGTTCCCCTCAGCCCCCTACTCTCTTACCACACCGAGGACCCAAGTGAAGTTCTAACCACATACTTGCCGGTACCACGAGGCCAGTGATGGCATCGGGCTCCATGACATTTAAGACTTCGTTCACATTAAACCACGATACCATGGGTAGTTCACATTAAACCACGGTGCCATGGGTAGGTTCACATTAAACCACGGTGCCATGGGTAGGTTCACATTAAACCACGGTACCATGGGTAGGTTCACATTAAACCACGGTGCCATGGGTAGATTCACATTAAACCACGATACCATGGGTAGGTTAACATTAAACCACGGTGCCATGGGTAGATTCACATTAAACCACGGTGCCATGGGCAGGTTCACATTAAACCACGGCATGAGTGCGCCTCTCGTTCTACTTTTAAACATTGGACTATGGCACCAGGAAGTCGTTTGCATCAGCGCACGGTGTCAGGGGAATTAACAACAAAGTTACTATCTCGGTAGCGACGGCAGGGGCCACGTTTACAGTGGGGCTGCGATGAGTGACATTTTTCGGCTGACTCAGCTGGTGCTGGTTGAGGCTGTTGCTGTTGGTTGTTGTTGTTATTTTCCGAAACACCAACAACACCAACACCACCACCACGTGGTCTGGTTTTTTTGTGGTGGCACCCGCGACCAGGACAAGGAGCCAATCAAAGCCCTGGACCTGAGCCGGTGCACGGCGGTGCAGTTCGACTACAGCCGCGAGAAGGTGAACTGCTTCTGGTGAGGATCCAACGTGCCCCTCGCCCTCTCACTCACCAACACACACTCACCAACACACACTCACCAACACACACTCACTCACACACTCACCAACACACACTCACCAACACACACTCACCAACACACACTCACCAACACACACTCACTCACACACTCACCAACACACACTCACCAACACACACTCACCAATACGCACTCACCAACACACACTCACCAACACACACTCACTCACACACTCACCAACACACACTCACCAACACACACTCACCAACACACACTCACCAACACACACTCACTCACCAACACACACTCACTCACACACTCACCAACACACACTCACCAACACACACTCACCAACACACACTCACCAACACACACTCACTCACCAACACACACTCACTCACACACTCACCAACACACACTCACCAACACACACTCACCAACACACACTCACCAACACACACTCACCAACACACACTCACTCACCAACACACACTCACCAACACACACTCACCAACACACACTCACCAACACACACTCACTCACACACTCACCAACACACACTCACCAACACACACTCACCAATACGCACTCACCAACACACACTCACCAACACACACTCACTCACCAACACACACTCACCAACACACACTCACTCACACACTCACCAACACACACTCACCAACACACACTCACCAACACACACTCACCAACACACACTCACCAACACACACTCACTCACACACTCACCAACACACACTCACCAACACACACTCACTCACACACTCACCAACACACACTCACCAACACACACTCACTCACACACTCACCAACACACACTCACCAACACACACTCACCAACACACACTCACTCACACACTCACCAACACACACTCACCAACACACACTCACTCACACACTCACCAACACACACTCACCAACACACACTCACTCACACACTCACCAACACACACTCACCAACACACACTCACCAACACACACTCACTCACACACTCACCAACACACACTCACCAACACACACACACTCACCAACACACACTCACCAACACACACTCACTCACACACTCACCAACACACACTCACCAACACACACTCATCAACACACACACACTCACTGACCAACACTCACCAACACACACTCACTCACCAACACACACACTCACCAATACACACTCACCACACACACACTCATCACCAACACACACTCACCAACACACACTCATCAACACACACACACTCACTGACCAACACTCACCAACACACACTCACTCACCAACACACACACTCACCAACACACACTCACCAACACACACACTCACACACTCACCAACACACACTCATCAACACACACTCACTCACACATCACCAACACACACTCACCAACACACTCACCAACACACACTCACTCACACTCACCAACACACACTCACCAACACACACACACTCACCAACACACACTCACCAACACACACTCACTCACACACTCACCAACACACACTCACCAACACACACTCATCAACACACACACACTCACTGACCAACACTCACCAACACACACTCACTCACCAACACACACACTCACCAATACACACTCACCAACACACACACACTCACTCACCAACACACACTCACCAACACACACTCACCAATACACACACACTCACCAACACACACTCACTCACCAACACACACCCACCAACACACACTCACCAACACACACTCACCAAACACATTCACCAACACACACTCACTCACCAACACTCACCAACACACACTCAATAATAACGAGACGCTGGACTCGAAGAGGCCCTTGCTACAACATCGTCGTCGTCGTCATTGTAATCGATTCCATGAGGATCACCGTCATTATCACCTACAATCCTCATCACTACTCACTATCACCACCATCAACACCACTACTATCATCATCAGCATTATCACCACCATCATCATCATCAGTTGTACCAGGTACACCATCACCACCACTTGCATCAAAGCATTTGGTGGTGCTACTGCTGCGTTGGCAGTGGTGCACGAGCACAGGAAGCAAACACCACGTCGCCGTGGTTCGTGCTACGAGGAAGGTCCATTGCCTCTGCGGTCGTGTGTGACTCTGCTCACGTTGCACAGGCCGTACAAGAACGACGCCAATGGACTCACCGCAAACACGACGCAGACATCGCAGCGGCACGCAGCTCAGCTGCTCCTGCCGCCTGCATGTGAACGAAATCAGATTGCCCCCCGAAGCGTCGCCTCTGATATATGTCCCCTTCTAAGGCCACAGCAGCGTTACTGACGAGTGTCAACGTGACCCCCCCCACACCCCGTCACCTTCCACCCCCGTCACCTTCCACCCCCGTCACCTTCCACCCCGTCACCTTCCACCCCACGCTCGTGCCGCTGTCTCCCAGCCTCGTGTTCCCGGAGAGGACGTTCTTCCTGTGCGCCAAGAACGCGCTGGAGGCTGACGAGTGGATCAAGCTCCTGCGCTGGAAGATGGTGAGTGGCGCGCACAGAGGCACAAAGACAAAGATGCCCCTCGAGCGCTCTGTTTGGGGCAAAGTGCTGCGAGCGAGCACGTACGAAGGCCGCCTTTGTATCCCGAGTGGCGATGTTTACACGCTAATTTGAGGCCGAGTCGACATAGGGGAGGCCCAGGACCGGTTCAGAAGATCGTCACTGATGGTGGCCGTGAACGTGAATCGAACTCGGGTATCAGGGTCTGTAGCGCAGTGCGGTAAATGCTGCACCACCGCTCCCACACGCACACCCCCCTCCCCCCCGAGTCCCATCTCGCCAGGTAGTGGTGGCTGTGCACGTGACCTGTCCACCCAGCACTGTGGAGGCACGGAGGGTTGGTGGGTCACACAGATCTATGTGCATCTCCCAACCCGTGAGCGTCGAGGGAGTGCCATATCCTGTTTTTCCAGGAGAAGGCAGTACAAGAAGTCGACTAATCGACGTCTGTTTACATCTGTACGGGGATAGAGCGTTGCCCCCTCGTGCTCTGTGTGGGGGTTTTTTTCTGGGTGCTCCGGTTTCCTCCCACATGGTATAATCAACACGAACTCACCATTCATTGGCTGGAAACATCTTTCTATAAAGACCCAATGGAGGAGCAGCAGCAGCAAGACCCTCTTGAAAAAGAGTCCTGCGACTCTACTGGATAGATGAGCCGCATCTTACTTATCGCCATTGCTACGGGAGCCGCCACACGCAGCCTGGCACTGCTGCGGTCATCCATGTGCAGCCAGGCTCCTCTGACTCGCACTTCCCCTTGCGTGCGAATACATGTGTGTGTGTGTGTGAATGCATGTGTGTGTGAATGCATGTGTGTGTGTGCGTGTGAATACATGTGGGTGCGTGTGAATACATGTGTGTGTGTGCGTGTGAATACATGTGTGTGTGTGTGCGTTTGTGTGAATGCGCTACCAGCACCAACAACATCAGCACTGGTGAGACAAAGGCGGCCAGGCGTGGTGCTCGCCACCCATCCCCTCGTGTGCTGTGCATGCCCTTCATATGTTCTCACTTGACCGAACAGTCTGTCAATGCTATGCGGGACGTCTGTGTCTTTGTGTAAATGCACCTGTGCGCGCATGTATGGACGTGCACATCAGCCAGCCAGGAAGTGGCTACTTCCTCCGGTATTTGCGGCACGGCAGCCCCAAACGGGTCCACCCCGCCTTGCCCCATGGAATTTGAGCCAAGGGGCTTCACCTCACGGAATGCTCAAAACCCTGTTCCTGAGGGTCGGAGAGCGGATCGCCGGTCTTTCTCTTAAGGATGGCAATAGGTGGGGTGCTGCCAGTTAGTTTTGATGGAATTAATGATCGATGATTGTGTGGCGCTGATGCATCAGTGAGCTCCTGTGGCCACCGCAGCTTCTGTTTGGCCAGATAGAGGGAGGTAGACGGGCACCACACGGGCTGGAAAAGAGATGGACTAATGCGGTACAGGAGGATGTGGAACTGAGTGGACTTGCCAAAGACTGGTACCAGCAGTGTCAAGATCGGCCTCTGTGGAGGAGGAGGCTCATGAAGGACGCTGATGGGCAGTTGGAGGCAGTCGCCCTCCATTATCAATGGAGGGCGGAGGAGCGACGCTCACAACAACGAGCGGAGCGCCGGGTGGCTAAAACGCGGCAAGTTGGCACAGTGGGCAGCACAGTCGGTGTATCTGCCAGTAATCTCAGTCGGTCAACCCATGGCACCTGCTGGGTCTGTCCCATGACCTGCCAGCGAGCCTTCCTCACTTCACATGGCCTCAAGGTGTACCTAGCCTGGCACAAGCGCCGTAATGACGACACCGCCACTTAGTGGAAAGCGGCGGTTGTTGTTGTTGTGCATGTGTGCGTCGGTGTGTGTAAAATGGTGCGTGTGTAAAGTGAAGTGAGGGCAGAGTGGTTAGCGCACTGCGCTACTAAACCGGCCACCTGGCTTCAATTTCGGCCAACATCAGTGGCAAGCGATTATCCGAGTTACCTAATGCGGTGTGTAAATATCAGTTCATTGGGAGACAAAGGCGGCCGGGTGTGGTGTTGTCCAAACCACGTCCTCGTGTGCCGTGCCGGCCTTCATCGGTGCTAACGACACTTGCCCCAATCAGTGTATGCAGGCTAAATGGGGGATCTTTATCTTTGTGCGCGTGTTGTGTGTTTGTTCGGCAGAATCAAGAACAGAAACAAAGGTTGCTGCGGAAAACCAAAACCGTGTAGGTGCACATTCTACACATTCACCTTGTAGGTGAACATCTAGGAAGGTGAACATCTGAGCTGCTGATCATCTTTGTAGGTGAACATCTAAGCCGGTGAGCATCCTTGTAGGCGAACATCTGTGAAGGTGAACATCTTTGTAGGTGAACATCTTTGTAGGTGAACATCTGAGCTGGTGAACATCTTTGTAGGCGAACATCTAAGCCGGTGAGCATCCTTGTAGGCGAACATCTGTGAAGGTGAACATCTGAGCTGGTGAACATCTTTGGAGGTGAACACCCGGGTAAGGGATCACCTGGACAGAAGACCCGAGGTGTTGAACACCAGGGCAGATGAACGCCTGGACAGATGAACACTTCCCCGCCACGCCTTCGGGGAGACCATTCGCCACGGGGAGGGGGCGAAGGGGATTGGGGAACCCCCTGAGGGGTCTACTTGGAGTGGCGCCGACCTCGGGGGACTCGGTCAGCCAAGAGAGCCGCGACCCCGCGGACTCGACTGCTCTGGACCTGGCCACGCACCCTCGACCCCACGGGTTGGACTCCCTGTCGGGGCCTAGCCTGTTCTCGCGTTGATAGTTTTGTTGTTTCTGTTAAGTGTGTGTTTGTGTGTGTGTTTGCGTGTGTTAATGTGTGTGTTTGTGTGTGTGTTAGTGTTTGTTTGCGTGTGTGTTAGTGTGTGTTAGTGTGTGTGTGTTTGTGTGTGTTAGTGTGTGTACGTTAGTGTGTGTGTGTTAGTGTGTGTGTGTTTGTGTGTTTGTGTGTGTGTGTTTGTGTGTTTCCACTCGCGGTTGGGTCCGCTGGCGAGCAGCACCACGCACTCACTCTGTACACCACGCACTCACTCTGTGCACCACTCACTCACTCTGTACACCACTCACTCTGTGCCACTCACTCTGTGCACCACTCACTCTGTACACCACTCACTCTGTGCACCACTCACTCTGTACACCACTCACTCACTCTGTGCACCACCCACTCTGTACGCCACTCACTCACTCTGTACACCACTCACTCTGTGCACCACTCACTCTGTACACCACTCACTCACTCTGTGCACCACCCACTCTGTACGCCACTCACTCACTCTGTGCACCACTCACTCTGTACACCACTCACTCTGTACACCACTCACTCACTCTGTACACCACTCACTCTGTACACCACTCACTCACTCTGTACACCACGCACTCACTCTGTGCACCACTCACTCTGTACACCACTCACTCTGTGCACCACTCACTCTGTACACCACTCACTCACTCTGTGCACCACTCACTCTGTACACCACTCACTCTGTACACCACTCACTCACTCTGTGCACCACTCACTCTGTACACCACTCACTCTGTACACCACTCACTCACTCTGTGCACCACTCACTCTGTACACCACTCACTCTGTACACCACTCACTCACTCTGTGCACCACTCACTCTGTACACCACTCACTCTGTACACCACTCACTCACTCTGTGCACCACTCACTCTGTACACCACTCACTCTGTACACCACTCACTCTGTGCACCACTCACTCTGTACACTACTCACTCTGTACACCACTCACTCTGTGCACCACTCACTCACTCTGTACACCACTCACTCTGTGCACCACTCACTCTGTACACCACTCACTCTGTGCACCACTCACTCACTCTGTGCACCACTCACTCTGTGCACCACTCACTCACTCTGTACACCACTCACTCTGTGCACCACTCACTCTGTACACCACTCACTCTGTACACCACTCACTCTGTACACCACTCACCACTGTACACCACTCACTCTGTACACCACTCACTCTGTACACCACTCACTCTGTGCACCACTCACTCTGTACACCACTCACTCTGTACACCACTCACTCTGTACACCACTCATTCTGTGCACCACTCACTCTGTACACCACTCACTCTGTGCACCACTCTGTGCACCACTCACTCTGTGCACCACGCACTCTGTGCACCACTCACTCACTCTGTACACCACTCACTCTGTGCACCACTCACTCTGTACACCACTGACTGTACACCACTCACTCTGTGCACCACTCACTCTGTACACCACTCACTCTGTACACCACTCACTCACTCTGTGCACCACTCACTCTGTACACCACTCACTCTGTACACCACTCACTCACTCTGTGCACCACTCACTCTGTACACCACTCACTCTGTACACCACTCACTCTGTGCACCACTCACTCTGTACACTACTCACTCTGTACACCACTCACTCTGTGCACCACTCACTCACTCTGTACACCACTCACTCTGTGCACCACTCACTCTGTACACCACTCACTCTGTGCACCACTCACTCACTCTGTGCACCACTCACTCTGTGCACCACTCACTCACTCTGTACACCACTCACTCTGTGCACCACTCACTCTGTACACCACTCACTCTGTACACCACTCACTCTGTACACCACTCACCACTGTACACCACTCACTCTGTACACCACTCACTCTGTACACCACTCACTCTGTGCACCACTCACTCTGTACACCACTCACTCTGTACACCACTCACTCTGTACACCACTCATTCTGTGCACCACTCACTCTGTACACCACTCACTCTGTGCACCACTCTGTGCACCACTCACTCTGTGCACCACGCACTCTGTGCACCACTCACTCACTCTGTACACCACTCACTCTGTGCACCACTCACTCTGTACACCACTGACTGTACACCACTCACTCTGTGCACCACTCACTCTGTACACCACTCACTCTGTACACCACTCACTCACTCTGTACACCACTCACTCTGTGCACCACTCACTCTGTACACCACTCACTCTGTGCACCACGCACTCACTCTGTGCACCACTCACTCAATCTGTACACCACTCACTCACTCTGTGCACCACTCACTCTGTGCACCACTCACTCTGTGCACCACTCACTCACTCTGTACACCACTCACTCTGTACACCACTCACTCTGTACACCACTCACTCACTCTGTGCACCACGCACTCTGTGCACCACGCACTCACTCTGTACACCACTCACTCTGTGCACCACTCACTCTGTGCACCACTCACTCTGTGCACCACGCACTCACTCTGTGCGCGTTCATCCAGGAGACCCACGCTGCGTCGCATGGCTCCTTGTCACGATGCTCCTGCCGCTACATGGGGGGCGAGTCTGGGGGTGGAGAGGCGCGTGGGGGGCTGGGGGGCGGTGGGGGAGGGGGCGCGTGGGGGCTGGGGGGGGGCGGGGGGGGGGCGTGGGGGGCTGAGTGGGGGCATCTTCGGCTCCCGGCATAGGAACGTTCCTCTCTACAGTACGCACTGTATTTATCCGGGTTGGAGCGCGCGCTCCTGGACGCGGATGGCGTCGCGGTTGTTGTTGTTTTTTCGTTTGTTGTTGTTTATGATTGTGTTTGTTATTGTTTAAGTTTGTGTCGTTTGTTGTTGTTTATGATTGTGTTGTTATTGTTTAAGTTTGTGTCGTTTGTTGTTGTTTATGAATGTGTTGTTTGGTGTTGTTTGTATTGCGTGTTGTTATTGTTGCTTATTATTGTGTTTGTTGTGTAATTGTTTGTTGTACTATTTTAGTTGTTGTATTGTTCATGTGCATCGAGTTTAATAATCGACGTTTTTAAACGACCCGAGTCGCGAGTTTCCCGTCTCGTGTGGTGTGTGTGATGTGGTGTGTGTGATGTGGTGTGTGTGATGTGTGTGGTGTGTGTGATGTGGTGTGTGTGGTGTGGTGTGCGTGGTGTGGTGTGTGTGATGTGGTGTGTGTGGTGTGTGTGGTGTGTCTGGTGTGTGTGGTGTGTGTGGTGTGTTGTGTGTGGTGTGTGTGATGTGGTGTGTGTGGTGTGGTGTGTGTGGTGTGTGTGGTGTGTGTGATGTGGTGTGTGTGGTGTGGTGTGTGTGGTGTGGTGTGTGTGTGTGTGGTGTGTGTGGTGTGTGTGGTGTGTGGTGTGGTGTGTGTGATGTGGTGTGTGTGGTGTGTGTGGTGTGGTGTAGTGGTTAGCGCGCTGCGCTATGAACCTGGCGACCCGAGTTCGATTCCCGCTCACGGCTAACACCAGTGACGATTATCTGAACCGGTCCTGGGCCTCCCCTAGGTCGACTCAGCCTTAAATGAGTACCTGGTGCGGTGTATAAACATCGCCACTGGGGAGACAAAGGCGGTCGGGCGTGGTGCTGGCCACCCAACCCCCTCGTGTACCGTTCTGGCCTTCATAGGTGCTCGCTAACAGCACTTGCCCCTACAGTCTGTTAAGGCTATATGGGGGATCTTTGTCTTTGTGGTGTGTGTGGTGTGTGTGGGGTGGTGTGTGTGGTGTGGTGTGTGTGGTGTGTGTATGCTGTGTGTGTATGCTGTGTGTGTATGCTGTGTGTGTGGTGTGTGTATGCTGTGTGTGTATGCTGTGTGTGTGTGCTGTGTGGTGAGTTTGTTTCCTGCCCACGGCTGCCATTCCGTGGCGAGTGCCAGAGTTGACGAGGCGACCCGCGCAGCTCTAATCCCCCCGCCTCCCCCACCCCGACTCGCACTCGTGGCCAGCCGGGTCAAGTTGTTGCTCCAACAGTCGCCACGCGAACGACAAGGCCTGCCGAGGCCTTCATCCAGCAGTGGATTTAGAAGTCATGGGAAATATTAATATTGTATCATATGCGATTATGGTCGGCCGGTACAAATGAGACGCTTCCAAGTACACGTCGAGCAAACAGTACAAAAAACAAAATGAAAAAAAAACATGGAATATTTAATCGAATCAATGTCCATTATCTTCTTGGTTCTTTCGGTAAAGTCACGTAGAAGGGAAATAATAAAATAATAAAAATAAAACAATAAAATTTGTATTGTTTAATTTTGTATTATTTATTAAACATTTTTTATTATGTTTTTTTATTATTTCCCTTCTACGTGACTTTACCGAAAGAACCAAGAAGATGAATCCCTGCAGTCACGAAAGCTTCAAATCGAAATTCAATTCCCATGAATTGTGACGATTCGTCGCATCACGTGGTGGTGTGACTCGTCGTGATCACGCACGCGGTGGGGGGAGGGGGGTGACGCCGCCCGAGTCAGTACCGCGGCGCGCCGCGAGGTGGCGACACAGACCGCGGGGTGGCGCCGCGAGCGACGCCAACACGGAGGCCACGCGCCGAGACGAGGAGGAGATGGCGAAGCTCCGAACATCATCCAACTCTCGATTTAAAGCTTTCGTGACTGCAGGGATTCATCTTCTTGGTTCTTTCGGTAAAGTCACGTAGCAGGGAAATAATATTATTTTAATATTTTATAATGTTTTATTTGTATTATTTTATTATTTCCCTTCTACGTGACTTTACCGAAAGATAAAGTCACGTAGAAGGGAAGTAATACAATAATAAAAATAAAACATAATAAAATAAAATAATTCTCACGACGTTTCGGCTACAACGCAAGCAGCCGTCTTCAGGTGAAGACGGCTGCAGCCGTCTTCAGGTGAAGACGGCTGCTTACTTCCCTTCTACGCGACTTTACCGAAAGAACCAAGAAGATGAATCCCTGCAGTCACGAAAGCTTTAAATCGAAATTTTACCGAAAGAACCAAGAAGAAGAAAAATATCATCCAACTCGTCACTTCGTCACATGCCCACGAGTTACTGTCGCCGATTAGCCGCAGCCAGCCACTAGTGCTATCCCTACCGCCGAACACTAAACAACTTCCAATCATTGTCGAGTACGAGCCCAAAGGAACTCGCCCCATCCGTCATCAGCACGAGGCTTTGCAACCAGATCCGAGCCCTTCCTCGACTGACCATAACCCTAGACAACTAGCAACCATGCCACGAACCTAACTCGATAGGACGAACCCGAACCAGCCACGAGAACTCATCCATAACCAGCTGGTCACGCAGCCACAAGGACGAGGCATACCCCAATCTGACGACAGCCCACCAGTCAATAGCAATAGCTCTGCAAACGATCTTAACCAAACGAAGCAACCATTAACTAGTTCTAGCCCTGCTACTGATCCAACTCTACCAACTTGTCCGATCACTTACGAGCCCGCACCTCTCGCCCCCATCTCGTCGCCTCTCTCCAC